TTTTTATATTTATTTATATATGTAAAATGTGTGTGAGTGTGTCTGTGTGTGAGATAGATATAAATATAGACAAATACATATGTGTATATATATGCACTCATACACACACTGCTATATTCATAGATCTGCTCTAAGTCTGAGAGAGAATCTGTTTGTCATTTCTATAAACGTCATTTTTTTCACCTAGGAACTGACCTTGACCAGGTTGCTCGAATAGTTGGGTTAGAAGAAATAATCTGCAGCAACTGCTTCATAAAATAAGTTCCTCTCTTAAAAGGGAGAGAAAGACTTCCCTCAGTATATTTTGTACATTTAAACTTTAATACAAAAATATTGTTACACTTTACCTAGGCAAACCTGACCCATATTGTAGGACTTCTCATATGAGTAAAGCTCTGCTTGCTTAATCACAGTGATAGTCCTCATAGGCAGCCATAATCATTATGCTGTTGTTTATAACCCTTGTCAAAAGAAAAATTTGAACAAATGCAAAGTTCTTTTAGGAAATTAAGATTTTTCATTTATTTTGGGGAGAAAACAACAAAACTAAATTATTTTACTACTTACTGGCAAAGTCATTCTTGCTACATTACCTATTTTAAAACTCACATCTCATTCAATTAAGATTTCGTACCATCGACAAAATGATGCTATCCTGAAAAAAATATTGCAATAGCTGCTAGATACAAGCCCATAAATAAACTGCAAGATTTTCAGGCTTCAGAAGACTGAGGACAGAAAGAGATTGTTTAAAGATTCATTTGAGCATTTCCTATTCAGTACATTTGCTGCATTCAGTAACAACAAAAATACATTAAATCACACAAAAAGAATGGATTTAAATGGCAATGGAACACATTTGTACTTTGTGGGGGTTCTTTACTAGTTTATAAAAAACAGAAGAAACTCCACCCCCAACCTAGTATTATAAATACAGTGTTCTAGCTGTGACATAAACAACAAGATAAACTGCTTCATCACAAGTAACGCTCAAACGCTAAGGCATGGGATGCAGGTTATCCACAGTGGATCTCAGTAGATACAAGATAATAAATGTTCCCTCAATCTATAATACATCTATGTCACATTCTAAAGTATAAAACCCAAAACATTTTCATGCTTTTCTTGTTTTTGGCGAACAATTTTAAAACATGATATACCTGGACGAAAAATAGATTTAGCCCTTTATACTACTGCCATTTCATATTGTCATTTGTACATCACGTGGGGTTTTTTTCAAATGGACCTTGGGTAGGTGACCAATATACACCAGCACAGGAGGAAAAGCAGGCAATGAAAATGGTGTAGAAGTCAATGTTCTTAAAAACTAAGATTTTTTTTTTTAAAAAAAAAAGGATTTGGAATATCCTCTGGTTCATTCACAGAAGTGTTTGTGCTATACTACAGTGATTAGAAGAGAAATGATCAAGAAGGGTTTCAATCTATATCCATGGTCACAGTGTAAAAAAAACAAAAAAAAACCCCAAACTCAAAAACCAAACACATGCTCCAGTATATAAAAAAAATGCTTAAATATGTTGACTGCACACAATACAAACACTGAACTCTGTTATCACAGTACTGTTCTGTTACAATCTCCTCCATACATTCCAGGGGCTCCTTGTACTCTCCCTTTTGGGGGGAAAAAAAAAAAAAAGTCATTCTCATGCCAAGAAAGTCCATATATTTGCACAGCTGTAAAACAGTCCAATGTAGAAAAAGGCTAGGACAAAGCCATACACAAAAGCCAAAATAAAGACACAGCCATTTAGATATTTAGCTTTTACTGACCTTCCTTTTAGAGCTAGCTGTCAATGGTTTGAGTTACTGAGCAATAGGAAACACAAGATTAGAAGCCTATATATTTCATGCATGTATATGTGCTGTGCAGTATGTCACATTCTGCTCCGCTCCAGCCACATAAATCCAGCATATATCTCGTGAAACTAGGATAATTTATGGAGACTGTTTTAATTTCTAGCCACAGACAAACTTGGGTGGACTGTGGGCTTTCAGTTCAGTGATCATACCAACAAGTCTTGGCCAGGAAGGGGAGAAGGCAGAAGAGTTTGGTCCAAACTGAAATAGAACATTTTTTCTTAATGCAGGAAGGAAACAAAGAAAACTTGTTTTGGATCAATCAAAATCAAAAATGAAATCCATTGATGTTTTCTACAATCTATGTCTTTTGGATGAAACACTTGACTAAATTCAGTCCTAATTGATGAATGTTTTCAGTTCCCTAAAGATCAATTTACTTTCTTTTTTACAAATTTGCTATCCAATAAACAATTTCCACCCTGCCCATTAGGGTTCAGATGCCTTTTCTCTTGGAAATCAATAGCAGATATCTTGCTAGATTCACTGGGACCAGAAATGGTCTGAGCTGCTGAAGGTACAAATCTTTAATTAAGAAAAAAAAATAAAACTAACACAAAATGTCTCAGCAAAATATGAGGTTGAAGATTGCATGTTTCCCTCTTTTTCTAGTATTTGATAGCCCTTCAAAAAACTAATTACATTGGTGATTCCTGCAAACCAGTATACCTGGTCTCTTAGGGAGACAGTTGCTGCAAGTGAGGAAGAGCCGGGGATAAGGAGACATGGCTGCAAAGCTGCTCCGTGAAGGGCCCCATCTTTGGAAATTTCTCTGGAGACGCTGGCTGCAGAGTAGATCCTAGAGCAAGACACGTATTTAGAGGCTCTGACCACCTTCAGGGTTTATAATCTGCTTAACTCCCAGCTGGAAAGGTGCATCAGTGGCACAGTCGAGGTTGCATCCCTTTGTGCTCCAAACATCCGTTCTGAGAACCTACAGAACGCTGGTCAAAAGAAAAATTGCAGTATTTATTTTCGCCTTAAAGATACTTCATAGCAGTACTAAAGCAGAAGCTTCTAAGTGCCGAGCAGAATTTAAAACCACAAAAGACTCTGCAGAGACCTATTTAAAAGACGTCTGTAGGTAACAATACATAGAGTTATTTGTAGTCTGGCTGTCTTCACAGTATATCATTACGTTACATTTTTGTGGTTGGAATTCAGTGTCTCGATTTGACCAGTATAAGGAGAACGATTAGTCACAGTGCCAGGTTTTGAATTCCAGAAGCGACAGTGCCGTTGTGAAATGCACTTGATGGACAGTTGTTGATCGCACCTGAAAGCTTCAGGCAAAGCAATACAAATACCTGTATTGCGATATGTCAGCAGACCAAATCAGCGATAAAAACAGGAATATCTAAAATACTAAAAGGCCACGTATAGAAGTATTACACGTTACATATGCTGTTCACGAGCACAGAGATGTACGTGCATGTCAGCTTCGCTAATTCCACGCCCATGCTGGGAGCTGAGTAGCTGGAACCTGCTTCTCCCTCAAGTCCTGCCTTCCTTGGAGCATTTAAATTAATCACCACACTATGTGTTTTGAATAAGTTTCACTTCAATAATTGGATTCTGTAAGGTAATGAATGTAAACGGATAGTGCACAGCAAGACTGGAATAGCCCCATTACAACATCACAATGGGAAGCATTTCATTTTAGAGTATAAAAATCCATCCTTCCAGAGGTATGTTGCCTTTCCTCAGTTCTGGGAGCTGGAATGATTCAGATAGCAAAGTCCTTTTTGCATACCTAGTGTTTTCCTCATTGCTGACAAAACCATCCAGTGTATATTTGTGCTAGTTATTTTTACAGATACTGCTAATAGCCAAGTGTAGAACGTGTTTGGAAGGCAAGCAGCTGAGGGCTATTTACTCAGCAAAACAATATGGCAATTCCCAATTTATTAGGCAGTGATTAAAAAGCAGTTTCCTACTGCTATTAACAGTGAGAAAAACAACTGGTGGACACTGTGTCAGCGGTCCTGAATGTATGGCTTGATTTTCACTGGGAAGCTGGTGTTACTGTCAGACTGCTGATAAATCAACGCGGTTGGCTGAGTTGGTGCTTTTATCCCAGGTGTTCAGCTTTGTGGGGGTTGTGCCTGGCCTGTTCCCAGTCATCTGGAAAGCAAAATAATATTGAAAATAGATTTATTTATTTTGCTAAACCACTCTCATCTGGATGAAATAAAAGCTTGAAAGCCTCTATTTAGATTACAGTGTTGTCGCAGTCTTGAGAGCATATGCCATCACAGAGTTTTAAACAGTTATTGCCAGGATCTAAGGTGATTGGCAGAGATCACTTAATAACACCTATCACTTCAGAAGTCTGCGTCCTTATAAAAACAAATGTCTTTTGCCTCAAGATAATTTAAGGAGAGCTAGAAAAGCACATTCACATGCTGACTTATTTAAGAGTTTATTCCTCTGGCTTAAATGTAAAAGTGCCCCATCAAAACACCATCATCATCAGACAAATACATTGCCAAAATGCTGCTTGAATGCATAATACGAAGTCCATCACAACTGATGGGAATAGCCATATTGAACCACGCGCCAGAGTTCATAAACCTTTGTTTGCCTTTATTGGAGAATTTACTGGGAAGCAGAATTTTGTCCTTTGCCTTCAAGACAGATGCTGTAGCTGCAACTTAATACTTGCTGATTCCAGCTGCCTACACCATGCATTAGCTTAGGTACTAAAAATACTCACATGCCTTCTTGTGTCCTGTTCTTTCCAACATAATTTAATGTGGAACAATTTCAAGAGCAATAGGAGGGGGAAAAAAAAAAAAAAAAGGAAGAATACTCACAATGTCTGAATTGAAGGGTTTCACGTTGATGTTGCGAGTTGAACTACTGGTAAGGGACCAGACCTTGGTTTTGTGCTTAAAGGCAGCTCTAACCTTTGGGGGAAAAAATGAAACCAAGTTGAAGATTTCTTTTGAAAAAGTTGTGTTTATTTTCACAGGTGCAGCCTCCAATAGCTTTCCCATTATCCCTCCTCCACATTAATGTCACTGTACTAAAAATCAACAAACAAACCACTGCTACATTTTTCTTTATACTTATGGTCCAGGTATATACTTTATTTTCCGGGTACCCTTACTTTAAACAAAAAGCACCACTTAACCTCACTTATGTCTGACTTCATTGGCAACATTTCTGTGTTATCTAGGTTATCCCATCCTCCTAGATGTCCAAGGTATAACTGTATTATAATTCATCTTGATTAAAATAAAAATAACAAAAGCAAACCCACCAAACTGCAGGGCATATAAGCACACATCCCCAATATTTCCAGCTCTGATTTGTAAGATTTCATAAAGTGCCATTGTACTGATTTTGAGCTGCTCACTTTCACATTTTCTAACCAAATTTACAGTCCTGGGCTGGACCACAAACTCCCCTATTCAGGCAGGCTCTCCCTGGAGCTGACACAGCCCTGATGGTACCCGGATGCCATGAGGATGTAAATCAGCTGCCAGCCTTTTGAAAGCTAAAATATTTAAAGATGCTGGATGAAATTCCCTACAGACAAAGGAAGATTCTTCACCAAGGTGAAAATAATCGGCTGCACAAAGAAAAAATGGTGAAACAGTCATTCTTTAGGCAAGTAGGTGACATTTATCAAGGATTACTAGCTGGAAGTGATAAAGCAATGTTATGATGTTGTGATAGAGAACATCTTGTCAGAAAGAGCATAGTTTGCAAAGCACACCAAGCAATCTTCTCTCCTTCTTCTGCTCTGGCATGGCCTCAGCTACAGCACTGTGTCCAACATGTCCACAAACCCTGGGATCATCAGGAGACAGCCCTAAAGAGAGCAGTGAGGATCACCACAGGTCAGCAAAGACATGTTATGAGAAGCTTACTTTTTTTAATCAGAAGAGAAGACTGAGGGAAGACAGGACAAGTCTTACAGTCTTCCCTTTCCTGCGGAGAGGAAGAGACTTACCTACTCTATATGTATTGTAGCTAAACCAGCAAATAAGGAGCTCAAACTGCAGTAAGAAAGATGAAAGCTCAACCACTTGGAAATATGTGCAGATTTCACTTTACAGTGTCTGATTTTCACTTCTATACTAAGAACAAAATTCTCAAGTAGAAGTCTCGCAGTTCAGCTGAAGAAGTATTTTAGACATGCACAGCATACAATGGAGCCAGTAAGACCTGCTCTCCAAAAACAACAGTTTACATTAGCTATATATGAACTGGTTTTGGAGCATACAAATTCCAAAAGGTTTCTGAATTTAATTTCTCATGAGGCTCCTGCAAAAAATGGCAGCAATTCAAATATTCGTATTTGATGTAAGATATTTGAAGCTTGACAGCCAGAAGAAAGCTTTCTGAGCCTGGGGGAAAATAGAAAAAAGAAATATTTTTCCTCTTTACCTTTAACGTGACTGCTTAACTTTAGTTGATTTCAATAAAGACCAAGAGTTTTGTAGTCAGTCCTGAATCTCCAAACTGATAGCAGCAAATATCATTATATATGTTCTAAATAGGTTGGCAAATAGGCTAAATATGTTGCCCACTATTAATAAATAATGTCTCCATGGATAAGCTGGAGTGCTGTTGTTGCATAGGAAGGAGCAGTAGGTTATGGAGCAGAGCTACTTAGCAACATCCAGAAGAAAGAGCTGTGGGAGAATCGAATCTATGTGGGTATTCGCTGAGCAGAACCCACATCAGCGTGCTGGAAATGCGTTTTTGTAAGAACCGTTCATTATCAGTAATACATGTTGCTCAGCGGTTTTGGCTATCAGCCACATGAGGAGAGGGTGCTGCAAGCTCCCGGCCCAGCAGAGACTGTCTCCACAAACCCCATTTCCATCAGCCTCGCCTTGGCTTCAGCCCAGTCACTCTGAGACAGCCTTAATGCAAAAAGATTCCTCTCGGTGCGCTACGAAAATCTGAACTTCCTGCCAAGAAAAATACCTGGAATATGTTCTACCCTGTTTGGTTTCCCATTACGGATTGCATGAGCAACGTCCAAAAGTATGTTTTGCTGAGAACAGTATTTATTTTCCGCTCTGGAACTGCAGATGTAACAAAGCTAGAGGCCCCGCAGCAGGGACTGCCAGAGCGAGTCCTGCTCCCGCTGTATAAGCATCCTCCTTTAGCAGCACATCCCTGTAGCCCCTCTAGCCCTCAGGAGTGCTTCTTCCCTTAGTCTTGGGCTACCTTCTCTTATTTATTTATTTTTTTAAAACCCTTCTTCTGTTTCTTTTAAGATAAATGTCAAGCAAGGGTCAAAATGCCACAGGTCACAAAGTCACTAACAGTCATGTATGAATTGAAATAAGAAAGAAATCAGTGGCGTAGCAGGCAACAATACCAGAGAAAGTCTTTTCCTACTTTACACATGAATTTGCTAACACCGAATTTGGTAACACCATTTGGTTACGTACCTCTGAATTCAGAAGACAGTGAAACAGGAACATGAAAAATCCCTGCAAACAGATAAAAGGGAGAAAGGTGAAGATGGTGAAGAATGAAATAATAATGGACTTTTCACAGTATTGTATAAAGCAGGTATTGAGTAGCTGGAGGTCTAGAGGTATCAAAGAATAAGCCAAACTGCGCCCCGTGTTAAACTGGAGAAACCTGCAGGTTACTATGAGGCTTGTCTGGACCTTTTCCTTTAAAACAGCACCTTCTAAAACTTTGGGGTGCTAAAGGAGAAATCTGCTGAAAAGAAGCAGCAATTCTCTTTTCTCGACTACAACAGAACTTTTTGTCTGTTCTTGCAAAAACAAAGGCAGAGGGAAATGCTCTTTGGGAAGCTCCAGATCAGTATGTATCACATTGGAAAAGCAAGGTATTAACATTAGGAAAATTTTCACAAGAGAAATTTGCTATCTTTGGACTTTCTGGCAATGGGAGTGAAAAGGT